ACCTCGGCCATTTTTGGCTGTTGCCGGAACGGGCCGCCTCCATGTGCTGTATTACATCTGGCCACTAGTCTGGCAGCTACGCGATTCGGTACCTCTGATCGAAGCAAGTGACGATCTTTGTGGAGAACAGCCCCGCACGCAGTAGCCTATTGCCTGAGATTCAAGGCTATAGAATCGAACCCCAAAGATCGAAGGTAAATTCAGGATCCTAGATCTCTACTTTTATTGCTTACTCTCTATTTCTTCAGCTTCCTTTACAATGACAGAAACAAACCATGCTAAAACGAAATTGGCTTTGAATCTGATATGCCTATGGCATCTAGAATTCCAGCCTGAGCTACTGGCTAGTCTTGCGCGCTTCCAGTGATGTACGACGATGCTTTTACCGCAAGGCTGCCGCTCAGCTGAGTGCGCCAGCCTCAACCAAACATAAATTCTTCACCCTTCGCATATATGCCACTTCGACGGCTCAGCTACTACCGAGAACCCTCCACTTCACGATCCTCGAACCTAGTCGAACAATGCGTCTGCTACACTACAATACCGATGGCGGGTTCAGCCTGGCCGAGTTCTTTGAAGGCGACATACCCAAGAAGTATGCTATACTTTCACACAGATGGGGAGCAGAGGAGGCCACTTTCAAGGATCTAACAGACGGTACGAGCAAAGGCAAGGCTGGGCACGGCAAGATACAGTTCTGCGGAGAACAGGCAAGACGTGACGGCTTACAATACTTTTGGGTGGACACCTGCTGTATCGATAAATCCAATGCTGTCGAGCTTCAGGAAGCTATCAACTCGATGTTTCGCTGGTACCGCGATTCGGCTAAGTGCTACGTTTATCTGCCAGATGTTTGGCGGCCTCGAACCGATTCGGCTGATAGGTCCTGCGAGGACTGGGTATCGATATTTCGGAGAAGCGAATGGTTTAAACGAGGCTGGACTCTGCAAGAGCTTATTGCGCCGGCATCAGTCGACTTCTTCTCTAAAGAAGGAGAGCTATAAGGAAATAAGGCCTCCTTAGAACGATACATCTGCGAGGCAACAGGCATTCCAGCCAGGGCTCTTCGAGGGAGCCCTTTGTCTGATTTCAGCGTTGATGAGCGATTATCGTGGGCAGCAAGTCGTGAGACTTTTCGCCAGGAAGACAAAGCATACTCACTACTTGGCATTTTTAATGTCAATATGTCGCTTATCTATAGCGAAGGAAAGGAAAATGCGTTGAGACGGCTAAAGAAGAAGATCCAGAAATTGCAGACAGGTGAATACCTAATAAATCGCTTTATTATTAGCTATCTACTAATCACTTTTTAACAGGAGACGAGCAGAATCAGGGAGCCCTTTGTCTGATTTCAGCGTTGATGAGCGATTATCGTGGGCAGCAAGTCGTGAGACTTTTCGCCAGGAAGACAAAGCATACTCACTACTTGGCATTTTTGATGTCAATATGTCGCTCATCTACAGCGAAGGAAAGGAAAATGCGTTGAGACGGCTAAAGAAGAAGATCCAGAAATTGCAGACAGGTGAATACCTAATAAATCGCTTCATTATTAGCTATCTACTAATCACTTTTTAAAAGGAGACGAGCAGAATCCACTTGACCCTGAAAGCCAAAGTTGTATACAAGACCTGCGGATAACAGATCCCCGGGAGGATAAGAAGCGGATTGAAGACACGAAGGGCGGGCTACTGCGAGACTCTTACCAATGGATCCTTGAACATCCCGATTTCCAGCAATGGCGCGACGATACACAGAGCCGGCTACTCTGGGTCAAGGGTGACCCTGGTAAAGGTAAGACGATGCTTATTAGCGGCATCCTCGATGAATTGAGCCCTTCGACGAAGCTAAGAGACAAAGCGGCAACCACACTATTGTCGTACTTCTTCTGCCAGGCTACCGATGGCCGCATTAATAATGCGTCAGCCGCGCTCCGCGGTCTTATCTACCTACTCATCGACCAGCAACCATTGCTCATCTCGTATGTGCGGAAAAAGTACGACCACGCTGGCAAGGCCCTTTTTGAAGATCCAAACGCATGGGTTGCATTATCCGAAATCTTCACTAGCATTCTACAAGACCCAAGCTTGACGAGCATCTATTTGATCATCGATGCGCTCGATGAATGTAAAGCAAATCTTGACCAGCTTTTGGATCTAATTAGTCGAACTGCCTCAACATCCACTCGCGTGAAATGGATTGTATCAAGCCGTAACGAACCTAACATTGAGGCGCGGCTGAGACTTGATCATACGCAGACGAGGCTTAGCCTTGAGCTCAACAAGGAGCATGTCTCTCGCGCTGTCCAGTTGTTTATCGATTTCAAGGTTTCCAAACTCCGACTTATTGAGGACGACGGCGAGCTACAGGAGATAATTCGAGGTCAGATATACGATAAGGCCAATGGGACATTTCTTTGGGCAGCTCTTGTCTTAAAGGAGCTTGAGCCCGTAGAGAGCTGGGACGTGCTCGATGTGCTTCAGGATATGCCGCCAGAGCTAGAACCACTCTATAATCGGATGCTATGTCAGGTTGAACAGCTACAACACAGCGATCCAGTGTTCTGCCGTCTCGTCCTTTCTACTATAACGCTTGCGTACCGCCCACTCCACCTGCTCGAGGTAGGGGCCCTCTCTGATCTGCCTGAGAAAATGTCTGCCAATCTCGATAAAGTCGTGAAGGTTGTCAATAAATGCGGCTCGTTTCTCACTATACGAGAGAATCGGACGTATTTTATCCATCAGTCGGCAAAGGACTTCTTACTTGAAAGGGCATTTGATAGAGTATTTCCATCTGGAATGGCGGATATAACCTATACTATGTTCTCAAAATCACTCGAGATTATGTCTAAAACGCTTCGACGCGACATCTACGAATTGCGCGCCCCTGGATTCCAGATTGAAATGGTCGAGCCGCCAGATCCAGATCCACTCGCAGCAGCGCAATACTCCTGTCTCTATTGGGTTGACCATCTACTTGACTGTGATAGAGGACACACTACGAATGATGTTGTAGACGGTGGCTCCGTTCATCTGTTTTTAAAAAGGAGTTATCTATTCTGGCTTGAGGGGCTCAGCTTAATGAAAAGCTTGCCAGATAGTATCGTGATGATAATGAAGCTTGAGAACTGGATTAAGGTAAGTTATATTACGATTTTGAGGATGCCTTTATAGAAGACTCTACTAACATGAACAAGTTCAATGAAAGCCCTAACGTACATGCGTTTATACACGATGCTAGGCGCTTTGCCGTATCCACCCGATCAATTATTGAACAAGCGCCTCTTCAAGCGTATTGTTCAGCTCTTGTTTTCGCACCAGAGAAGAGCATTGTTCGAGAAGCGTTCGAGAGCTGTATTCCACCTTGGATCCAGACAAAGCCTAGAGTCGAAATGTACTGGAATGCGATGCTACAAACCCTCGAGGGCCATACTGATTGGGTCAGCTCAGTCGCCTTCTCCCCTGACGGCAAGCAGATCGTGTCTGGGTCTNAGAAGAGCATTGTTCGAGAAGCGTTCGAGAGCTGTATTCCACCTTGGATCCAGACAAAGCCTAGAGTCGAAATGTACTGGAATGCGATGCTACAAACCCTCGAGGGCCATACTGATTGGGTCAGCTCAGTCGCCTTCTCCCCTGACGGCAAGCAGATCGTGTCTGGGTCTTGGGACAGCACCGTCCGGCGCTGGGACGCAGCCACGGGACAGCAGCTACTGCCAGCCCTCGAGGGCCATACTCAAACCGTCACCTCAGTCGCCTTCTCCCCTGACGGCAAGCAGATCGTGTCTGGGTCTGGGGACAGCACCGTCCGGCGCTGGGACGCAGCCACGGGACAGCAGCTACTGCCAGCCCTCGAGGGCCATACTCAAACCGTCACCTCAGTCGCCTTCTCCCCTGACGGCAAGCAGATCGTGTCTGGGTCTGGGGACAGCACCGTCCGGCGCTGGGACGCAGCCACGGGACAGCAGCTACTGCCAGCCCTCGAGGGCCATACTCAAACCGTCACCTCAGTCGCCTTCTCCCCTGACGGCAAGCAGATCGTGTCTGGGTCTGGGGACAGCACCGTCCGGCGCTGGGACGCAGCCACGGGACAGCAGCTACTGCCAGCCCTCGAGGGCCATACTCAAACCGTC